TCTAATTTTTGATGTACTTTGCGATAAAAATCGATTAGTTGACCGTACATCTTATTCATCTTAATTATGTTATTGCTAACTATAATGATAATCTTACATAATGTTATCACAATACCTATTCTTTTTCGTCTTCCTCAGCTTATCGGCTCATTAAGTGCCATCACAAAATCTCTCCATTTCWCTCTATCATATGCGTCATCAACAGATATATTTTTATCTATATTTATTTTGTTAACTAAAACTTCTTTTATTACTTGTCCATCACAATCTGATTTATCGTAATATAATTATATATTTTAAAACAGAAATATCTGTACAATATTTGAAAGTCTTAACAATGAATATTTAATTCTAATTGGTAAAATCAAAATCAAAAGTAAAAACTACGAGTATATTTTATTAAAATGGTTGACATTGATTACAAAAAAATATTATCATCACTTAGCTAATTTTTTGCTGGACAAAAGGCGCTCTGTAATTTCATCACCACCTCGTCATATTCCTTTAACCCAGTAACTTTCTCAATTTTTTCTTACATAAGAAATTTCTTCTGATAATTACGGACACAACAAAAAAAGAATGAGCGAAATTGGTCCAGCCGTTCACGCGTGATGTTTTAACCAAGGGAAATAGGGATTCATTTTTATATAATAGAGATATATATTTTGAGATATATTTAAACAATGTAAAAAGTAACGTAAATGCAAAAATAATATTTTATTATTTTATATTTTAGGATTTATTGGATATTATGACAAACTAAATATTAAATTAAAAATAACTGTTGCTACAAATYGCATAAATAAAGTCAACAATGATTTTTAATCTACGATTTGGAAACAACAATAAAAAAAGAAAATTGTCCACAAAATGTTAAAGTAGCACTTACTTTACCAGTCAGCTCTGCAATACGTGAACGATCTTTTTGGGCTTTGTGAAGAATAAAGACGTGGCTGAGAACTTCTATGCATCAAGAACGTTTACAAATCTCTCTATTCCACATATGGAAAAGAATATAACAAAAATTATTGATACTGAATGTATTATGAATGAATTTCCTGAATCTTCAAGGATGATGGTTTTAAATTAAAACATTTTAGACTGTTATTTTTTTTTTAGATTCTGAACGAAGTGACGAATGTATTGATTTTACAATGATGTGTATTTTATTTTTTTTTTT